ATTCTGTAGAATGTATAGGATGCCTAAAATTACTCTAAACGTTGCATTCCAGAAGACTTGAAATTTTCCATATAAAGGCTTATTTTGATTTCCGTTGTCCGCGTTAGACAGTTTCCGTTTAATCCAGGTTATTTAACCTCTTTTTCAGCCCCAAAGTCAAGGGACCTGAAAATATTTCCGTTTAAGACAGATTTCCATTTAATAAAGGGTCCGTTTAAGGCAGGTTTTACTGTAATTAAAATATTACCAGAGCCAACTGTATACAGAAACATATGGATGAAATTTGTTTCTTCTGCTGGTTATAACAGTTAAACATCCCTATAGTGTTCTTTTCAAATGTCCACATTAGGAGACTCTGATCAATTCTGCTTAACTTAAAATATTCATACTGTGGGAACTGCCCACATTCAAGCAAGTGTAACAACGCAAGCGTCATTGCTTAGCAACGACAAGTAAACAACAGTTGCTAGGCAAAAGCGAGTAAACAGCGGTTGCTAGGGAACTTATAAACACGGTGGTGAGCCTGCCCCGCATGAGGATTTCCATTGTCTTCTCCTTCCGTGATAGGACCTGGTAGGGGCTGCTGTAGGGGTGCTCCAATGCTCTCCGAGTAGTGTCCCCCTACAGTGGCCCCTACCAGGTCCTATCATGGAAGGAGAAGACAATGGAAATCCTCGTGTGGGGCAGGCTCACCACCGTGTTTATAAGTTCCCTAGCAACCGCTGTTTACTCGCTTTTGCCTAGCAACTGTTGTTTACTTGTCGTTGCTAAGCAATGACGCTTGCGTTGTTACACTTGCTTGAATGTGGGCAGTTCCCACAGTATGAATATTTTAAGTTAAGCAGAATTGATCAGAGTCTCCTAATGTGGACATTTGAAAAGAACACTATAGGGATGTTTAACTGTTATAACCAGCAGAAGAAACAAATTTCATCCATATGTTTCTGTATACAGTTGGCTCTGGTAATATTTTAATTACAGTAAAACCTGCCTTAAACGGACCCTTTATTAAATGGAAATCTGTCTTAAACGGAAATATTTTCAGGTCCCTTGACTTTGGGGCTGAAAAAGAGGTTAAATAACCTGGATTAAACGGAAACTGTCTAACGCGGACAACGGAAATCAAAATAAGCCTTTATATGGAAAATTTCAAGTCTTCTGGAATGCAACGTTTAGAGTAATTTTAGGCATCCTATACATTCTACAGAATTTTGTTTTCCATAACTATAAAATAATCTTCTAATGGTACTGCACTACCTGCACTGAGATTCAGCAGAATTGTTTTCCCCATCTGGAAATTGTATTCAGTAAGGGCTCTAGGCCTACAGTTTTACTTTAGTCTAGCAGTTGTCATCATGGCTACAAAGACAAGAGTTGTGCTTGATCTTAACACAAGATTAAAAGTGATTCATGCGAGTGAGCGAGATAAATTTTCTGTTAAGCAGATGTTTAACGTTGGTAAAACTCAAGTATATGAGATTCTAAAGAAGAGAACGGAAATTTTGAAGCGGTGGGAAACTTGTGCTAATGGAAAAATAAAAAGAGAACTTAAGAAAACTGCAAACGAAGACGTTAATGAAATAGTGTGGGAGTGGTTTGTCACTGTGAGGGCAAAAAATCACCGGTTGTCAGGTCCTATGGTACAGGAATATGCTAAAAAAGTCGCTGAAAAACTGGGGAAGACTGAATTCAAAGCATCTAATGGATGGTTGGAGAGTTTTTGCAAAAAACATCGGATAGTTTTTAATGAACTTTGTGGT